GCTGCTGCATAGTATTCCATGGTGTAAATGTACCACAGCTTTTTTATCCACTCATCTACTGATGGGCACCTGGGCTGTTTCTAGATCTTAGCTATTGTAAATTGTGCTTCTATGAACATAGGGGTGCAATAGAGCCTTTCTGATTGTTGTTTCTGGTTTCTTGGGATATATTCCTAGAAGGGGGATCACGGGGTCAAATGGTTTCTATGTTTAATTTTTTGAGGAACCTCCATACTGTCTTCCACAGTGGCTATACCAATTTACAATCCCACCAACAGTAGACAAGGGTTCCCTTTTCTTCACATCCTTGCCAACACTTGCTATTTCTTGTCTTTTTGGGGATAGCAAGTCTAACAGGTGTGAGGTGATAGCTCATTGTGGTTTGGATTTGCATTTCCCTAATGATTAGGGAAGCTGAGCACCTTTCCATGTACCTGTTGGTCATCTCTGCATCTTTGGGAATATGTTCAGATCCTCTGCCCATTTTTTAATCAGGTTGTTTCTCTTTTTTTTCTACTGAGTTGTATGAGTTCTTTATATATTTTGGGAATTAACCCTCTACCAGATATGACTTGCAAATATTTTCTCCATTCGGTAGGTTGCTTTATGATAGTTTTCTGTGCAGAAGCCTTTTAGTTTGGTATAGTCCTACTTGTTTTTTCTTGCTTTTGGTGTCAAACAAAAAGAATCATTGCCAAGATCAGTGTAGGAGCTTATCATCTATATTTTTCTATATTATTTATCCACCTGTATTTTCTATATTATTTATCCATTTTATAATTGGGTTATTTTTTTAAAATATATTTTATCGATTTTTTTACAGAGAGGAAGTGAGAGGGATAGAGAGTTAGAAACATTGATCAGCTGCCTCCTGCACACCTCCTACTGGGGATGTGCCTGCAACCAAGGTACATGCCCTTGACCAGAATTGAACCTGGGACCTTTCAGTCCCCAGGCCAATGCTCTAGCCACTGAACCAAACCGGTTAGGGCTATGATTGGGTTATTTTTGTCTTAATTGATTTGTAAGATTTTAAAGTATATTCTGGATATGAGTTTATTGATACACATAATTTTTGTATTGTTTACTTAATGGTATTGTTGTTAATCCTCACCCAAGGATATTTTTCCCATTGATTTTTCTAGATAGAGTAGAAATAGAAGGAGGAGAAGGAATGAGGGACAGAGGGAGGAAGGAAGGGAGGGAGGGAGGGAAGATAGATGATAGATAGATGGATAGATAGATAGATAGATAATACTGAGAAAGATTGAGATTGGTTTCCTCCCCAACACACCCCAACTAGGGGCCTGGGAGGAACCTGCAACCCAAGCACAGTATGGGCCCTTGACCAGAAATCGAGAACCCTTGGTGCTTGGGCCATTGCCCTAACCACTGCACAACAATAGTGCTTTTTAAAGAACAAAACACTTTGATGAAATTCAGTATTTCAGTTTTTTTAAACCTAATGCTTTTTATGTCCTAGCTATGAAATCTTTTTTTTTACTCCAAAATTGCAAAGATTTTTCTCCTACATTTTCTTCTTAGAACAGTGGTTCTCAACCTTGGCTGCACATTAGAATCACCTGGGAATCTTTGTAAAATCCTGATCCCAGGTGATTCTAATGTGCAGCCAAGGTTGAGAACCACTGTCTTAGAAGTTTTTTACTTTTTGCTGTTTTAATTAGATTTTCAGTTCCGTTAGAAAGAGCTTGACAATTTCTACAAAATCAAGCCTGCTGGGCTTTTGGATGGGGTTGGACTGAATTAATCAATTTGGGGAGAATTGACAATTTAATGATGAGGTTTCAAATCCATGAAAATTCAATTCTTTTTCTTTACTATCTCTTGACAGTGTTTTATATTTTTCAGTGTAGTGGTCTGAAACAAAATGCTTAGAATATGTTTTTGTTAAATGTATTTCTAAGCATTGTATGTTTTTGGATGCTCACATTATTTTTAAAATTTCAATTTCCAATTGTTAATACACTAAAACCTCTGTATAATGGATTAATTCAGGCCAGGGTGTGTCTGTTAAAGCTGGAAGTCCATTATATAATAAAATAGATTTTCCAAGTGTGTATGTTAAAACATTGACAAATTAGTTTACCTGTTTTTACTTAATGTAGACATGTTTGTGTAATTAACTATGTGTGAAAAGTTGAATTTTACAGGAAAAATTTTCTATATTATTACTCTAATTTTTAAATTTATGCTGAATAGGCTCAGTAAATAAGTGCATTTCCCAGTGGCTGTGAATAAACAAATGCCTACAGCTGGGGTGTGGCTTAGTGCACCTGGGAACATCGGCTGGCAGGTATTAAAACTGCTGCAGAAAGCCATGCCATGCATTGAGAGCGATGTGGTGTGATCACATGGTGGTGATTCCCCGAACATTGTTTATAAGCATTGACTCTTGGATTTAAATATGTAGACTATAGTTATAGATATGTAGTATTTATTTATGTTGGTGAAATTACAACAGTGGTTTTTCCAACATAGGGCCTATTCGCTAAAATTGTTTAAAAGTAACAGTGAATTAATAACAAAAAACCCTGTTAACTTAGTTATAAGCAAATCTTGGTTAAAGCATTTTAAAATTAACAGGTTGTTAATTTTCATATATGACATATGGACTGGAAATTTTGTCCATTAAGTCTGAAATCCATTAAATCGAGGCCTGAGGTCCACAAAATCAAGGGTTTACTGTATATGGATACACATTATGATTGCTGCATACACATTATGATTCCTGGTGAATTGAAGATGTTATAATTATGTTTCTCTTTATCTTAGTTATTTTTTATCTTGAAGTCTACATTATTTGATTTTAATATAACCAATTCATTAATCTTATTCATACTTATGTATTTTTTAATGGCACATCTTTCCATCCATTTACATTCTGCCTATTTTATGTCTGTGTATTTCTCATAGACAGCATGAGTAATGCTTTTTTATCCATTGGACAACGTTTGCATTTTGGAATGTTTAATGCACTAACAGATAATATAATTATTGATATGGTGGTTATTTATCTCCTTTGGTTTTTGTTCTTCTGTTTCTGCTTATTAACTATTTCTCTTCATATTTTTTAATTTTTAATTTTTTTTTTGTTAATCCTCACCCCAGGATATTTTTTCCATTGATTTTTAGAAGAATGCAAGGGATGGAAGCAGGAGGGAGAAGGACAGAGAAGAAGACAGAAAGAGAGACAGTGTTCGATGTGAGAGCGACACATCAATTGATAGCCTCCGACATACACCCCAGTAGGGGTTAGGGATCAAACCCACAACCCAGGTACGTACCCTTGATTGGGAATTAAACTGGTGACCCTTCAGTTTTCAGGCTGAAGCTCTAATCACTGAGCAACACCAGGGCTCTCTTCATATTTTTTAAAGTTGTTACTTGAGGAATTAAAATGTATAAACTTAATTTTTCATAATCTACTTAGATTTAAAATTTATGTACCACAGCACATAAAATATAAGGAACTTTCAGCTATATGGGTTCATTTACTGTAGTCCTCTATTCATTATGATATAGTTGCTATACATCATGGGGGGGAAACGTCCAGCCAGCGAAATCATTTGGTCTGACCCTGCCAACACATTAGGGGTGAGTTAATTAAATGTTTGACCAAATATAACAGGCGAATTTTTAGGTTGATCATTTTGTGTGGCCCTCCAATGAAGTTATCCAAATGGCCCTTGGCAGAAAAAGGGTTCCCCACCCCTGCTATACATAATACATGTAGGAACATGATTAACTCCATTATACAACGTTATAATTTTTGCTTATACAGTCAAGTATTTTAATGAAATGAATGGAAAATCAGTCTTTTATGTTTGCCCCATATTTATCATATATGATCCTGCTTATTTCTTTGTAAGTATCTGTTTTCTTTTGGTATCCTTTGTCTCCTGCCTACTGATCTTCTTTTAACATTTCTTGTACACCTGCTAAAAATGAATTTCTTTTAGTTTTTTGTTTAATGTAAAATTTTATTTCACTTTAACTCTTAAGGGATATTTTTTACTGGATAAGGTATTTTGGATTTTTTTCTTTTATTTTAGAACTTTAATATATTGTTCCATTGTTTCTTCTGGCCTTTGTTGTTTCTAATGAGAAGTCAGCAGACATTTTGAATCATTCATTATTCCCTTGTAATGTGGGTTTTTTGTTGTTGGTTTGGTTTGGTTTGGTTTTGCGTCTGGCTGCCTGCAAGATTTTTTCTTTAATTTTGGTTTTTATCATTTTGATTATGGCTGTGCCTAGGCATATTTTCCTGCGTGTTTATCTTTCTTGGGGTTTGCTGAGGTTTGTGACTTTAACGATATTGAGTCAGTTTGGGGCCATCCTTTGTTTTCTCAGGTATTTCTTTTGCATTTTCTCTCCTGCTAGGAATCAGTTACATATATGTTGTCCCCCAAGTGCCTGAGGCTGTTTACTTTTTAAAATATATTTTTCTAAGTATTGTCAAATTTTTATTGATGTTGCTTCAAATTTCATATATCCTTTTATTCTCTTCAAATTGCAGTTAACCCATCCAGTGAAGCTTTTATTTCAGACATTGTAATTTTCCAATTTAAAATGTCCATTTATCTCTTTTATATTGTTTCAGTTTCTCTACTGAGTTTATCTTTTTATTCCTTGCAAGTATATTCTCCTTAATGTCCTCGAACATAGTAGTACTAGCTGCTTAAATTCCTTGTATGTAAACTCTAACATCTGGAGTCCTCTCAGAGTCAGCTTCCATTGAATGTCTCAGTATGGTCCACATCTTCTTGAAGTACCTTTGGATTGTATCTTAGTCACTATGAGTGATGTATTGAAAAGACTTTGGATTCTGTTGTATATTGCTTTTTTTTTTTTTAAATCAAGCCATTAGATTGATTGAACTGGAATTATAAACTTTATGTCCTCCACAGTGGATAGCAGCTGAAATTTTTGTTTGGTCCTTTTAGCCTTATCTGGACTACTTAGAATCTGCTCTTTACATATGTACTTTATGGTTAACCAAAGATTGGGGCAGTGTTTATAAACCATTTGGGGATGCTCCTATTCTCTTCTTGGTAGTATTTTCCTCCTCACCAGCGGCTACATTTGTTCTGAAATTCTGAAATCTTTTCCTCTGAGATGAGAACGTAAAACTGTAGATTTTCTGGGCTTTAGCCTCCTGGCCTGCCCCAAGTAGAAAACCAAGAACTCATCCCAGTGCTCAATCCTCCAGTGCAGTATCTTGCTGGTTTTGATGTTTTCCAGTGCTTTTAGGTAGTTGGGGGGAGGGGGGGTTTGGTTTGGGTTTTTTGATGTTTTGTTTTTGTTTTTTGTGTGTTTTCAAAAGTATTTTGTCCAGATATTATAGGTGTTGTATGTGGAATTATTGTTCTAATATAAATTACTTGGCCATGATTAGAAGCAACATCTCTGGGCTCTTTTTAATGCATGAGTTTTATGGACACTCATCTGAGGAGAGCAGTCTTACATAGGTCCTCATGAGTCCCTATTGTAAGACATGAATTGGGTGACGGGCTTAAGTAACATTAGCCATGACTTTACCCCAGGCTTTAGCTGTTAGATTTGGAAGTAGGAACCCTTACTTAGAGTTAGTTAGGTCAGGTGGAGGTATTCCTCCAAACTGTATGTAATGAGTACACTGCAAACTTTATAAGACCAGTAGTTTCAATAAATCTTGTTTCATATTCATATAGAGCTCATTAAGGGAAAGGTCCATTTCATTTTAAATTATTATGATAAACAGCTTCAATTTTTGTAAATGATTCAAAAATAATATATAATTTAGAGAAGTGATGAATTTGGGTGTGCCCAAGGAAAAGAAAATTGCCTACATTATTAGGAAGTTCAAGAGACATAACCATCTGTGACTTGATGGAGGGGGGTGTAACATAAAGATGTATGATGCCATTTGTAAAACTAATTTCTCTTTCCATTTAATCTGTTCTTGCCTAAGTAAATACAGCTAGTAATTAAGATACCATTTTGGTGTGGCTTATAAATGCTGTTGCCTTCATTAAATTTCACACTTGTGAAAAGGAGCTATTAAGAGACAGCCTAAGGTAACACTTTTGAATAGCTAACTTTGTTAAAAATATGTTTCTAAATTTCTTGCAATAAAATGTAATTGCATTTTGTTTTCACTTGCTAGAATCTTCTCACATATTAAGTATTAGAGATAAATAAGACTTGATGCTAGAGGGAGCATTCTGTTAAATTTGGAGTAGTATAGTGACTTTTGAGTTCCCCTTTCCTTGCCATTCATGATAAATATCATTTTCTGGTTTCTCTAATTTTTCTTACAATTCACTGCTTCTAACATTAAGCAGTGGCAGGAGAGAGATTCTAAAATATATACTATTTTGAAACTGTCAAATTTTGAAATATTTGCCATAAAATTAATATGGTTAAGAATCTATCAGTCATTGAGCCTGATTGCAAAACTAGTACCTTGTTCTAATATTGCAACACTGGAGCATCTCGATGGCACGCCTATAAAATAAAAACAAAACAAAATAGGGTAAGGGAGGAAGAGAAGAAAAGGGAAAAAACTAACCTTTTATTGTTGATAACACAAAATCATAGCCAATAAAAACGCCCTACCTTATAAAAATTGGTACATAGTAAAATGGTTGCTGTTGTACATATGAACAGTGAACTTCTTATATGACATGCCTTCATTATTTCATGTGTTACGATTTTTTTCCCATT